TATTGTGCACAATTGGGTGAAATGGTTACCAGCGATTCAAAGAATCGGATTCTGGCGGACGTGACGACATTCACGCTCTACAAGACTCTAGTCAACACACACACACACACACACACATTCATATATTTTATTTTATGGTTTTCTTTTATTAAAGATATAATGTCATGCTGTTTGTTAGATATGAAACTTATTTTATTTTATAAATTCTATTCTATTTTATAAAAATATTTAGAAGAAAAAAGTTTGAAACTTTTTATTTCATTAATCAATAAACAATTATAATCAATAAGAATATAAAAACTAGAAATCTATATTTCTTTTATAATTTCATATTCTTTAAATGCAATAAATGATCAATCTTGTAGTTTATTAGTTCGATATCTTAATAAAAGTTTTCAAATATACTTATTAAGATATACCTGTATAAATAAATGAAACTAAAATGTTTGGAAGTGAAAAGTTTTGTATTGAATTGAATCATAGTAATCGATACTCACATTCGGAACATTATATCCGAAACTATACTATAAGTGATACTATAATTGTGGCCACATTTTTAGATAAGGTAGGTATATTTTTCAAATTATGTAATTCACATTTATTACAATTTTTAATATAGATTTTTGGAATAAATAAAAAATTTGGTCTGTTTTGCGATCCAAGTGCTTATATGGTTGATATAATTAAAACAAAATATAATAAAAGGTTTAATTTGGTACTTTCAAATGTTACATTAATAATAATTTAATAATAATAGGGTTGTACTGAACATCGCATATGACAATAGGGGTGGAAATCTACTGCCAAATGGCTCGTGGAATGGGGCCCTCAGTCTCATTGAGCGAAATGTTTGCTAATTTAAAAATATTTATTTATATTTATTTAATATTTGTAATATTTAAAGGAAGCAGATTTGGTGCTGGCTCAGTATTCAAATAATGGTCAGAGAGATACTTTGGCTCACTTTCCATACCTGACATCCGATTCATCGCAACTAACTGTTATGAGTTCCCCTAAATACTACACAAACTATAGTTTATTCAATATATTGAATGGCTTTAGAATTGATGTTTGGATTCTTATTATACTCACATTTCTTATACTCTGCGGTTTAAATGGTGTCAAAACATATCTGGATTATTATGCTTTACTTTTAGGAAAAGGTGATTGCAATATACAATACATGTGCCATTATCAAATTAGCCTAAAATTTTAATAAATTTAGGAATCCGTGTAAAACAATATCACAACAAATATTTGATTTTGTTTTCGTTGTTGGGTTCATTGATTATCACAAACTACTTTCAAAGCGATTTACAGGCACTGGAAGTGTCGAAACAGGCCTTTAAAATAGAGTCATTCCAGCAGTTGATTGACAGGCAAGACATCAAGATATTAATCGTCAAGAATTCAAACCAAGAATCACTTATAAAAAAGGTTTGCTTGATTAAATTTTAAAGTGTTTTAAAGTAATGCTATTTTAAATAATAATAAACTAGAATCACAAACAACTTGTCAATCGTTTAGAAAGCATACGAATGCCTAATATGTTTAGATTGAAAACAATTTTGAATGTCGTTCACAAAAATACAGTATTGATCTCATCGTATATCAAATTGGATATAATTGTCAAATATTACTCCAACTTTGATTTGATTATCACCCGTCATGGAAGTGATATGTATTTGTATAGCATTCCTCTGAGGAAGACATTACCGGATCAATTTAAAGCTACATTCAGACAAATGTTTGTTTTCAATAGAAATTTAATTAAATGCTTAAAAATATTTTTATTTTTATAGTTTAATACGTTTATATGAATCTGGTATTGAAAGTCACAAATCATTGCAAACAGTAAATCAAAACTTATTTATGGATTATTTGAATAATATATATGAAGAGAATAGAGACCATTCACACGATCCAAATGTGTCCAACCGTTTTGCACTGTCTGTCAGACATCTATTAATTTGTTTTGTTGTTTTGCTCTTCGGTTATATTTTATCTATTTTCAGTCTAACTATTGAAACCATTTTAAACATTTATAATGTAAAGTAAAATAATTTAATATTCATTTAGTTTGATGTTGTAAATCTCCTTAAAAAATTGTAAATAAGATTTGAAATTTTAAAGTACAAAATAACTTATAATTACTTAATAAGAATTAGCAAAGTAATATTTTGATTAAAAATAAATTTGTTAATAAAAATATTTATCGAGGAAGTTTGATTAAAAAATACAGCATATTCAAAAATGAATTTAGTTAAAAAAATATGCTAATACAAATATCATCCAATATATAAAATTCAAAATTAATATTAAATTATAAAGAAATTCATATTTTCAAATACATTAGATTATAATAATCTATGGTTTGGCTGAAACCGACCCATAAATACCCGTTTGTGGAGTCATTGTCGCCGTTTTGAAGACTACTTTCAACTCATTTTCTTTGGCTGTGCTTCGGGTGGCATTCAAATTGAATTTTAACAACAGATTTGATAAAATCAATTTCAATACAATCCTGGCATAGGTTTTGCCGATGCAGTCGCGCCCTCCCCTTCCAAACGGTTGCCATTTGTCAACAAATTCTCCATTCGTTCCCATATTTATACGATTTCCAGAATCATTGAGAAATCTTCGGGCATTAAACCGGTGAGCGTTTGGATAATTGGTGTCATCCCTGTGTATCTGGTATAAAGCCACTTGTATTTGAATACCTTTAGGGATCATATAATACATGCCATTATCTTGAAAAATCAAATCGTTGTTTGGATTGGATCTAAAAATCACAAAAAGTATTAATTTAAATTAAAAATTTCAAATAAAATAATCAAACCTGGATATAAATGTTGTTTGTGGTGGATATAGTCTAAGAGTCTCATTGATAACCGAATCCATTAGTGGCAATTTATCGACAATTCGTTCATCCAAATCATTGTTAACCATATACTCATCCACTTGTGTCGCTAACTCTTGAGTCAGATCACTATTATTTAGTAGAAAATGTGTAATAAATCCCAGACTTGAAGACATCGTTTCAAAGGCCGCCTCATTGAAGAGGACTGTCTGTGCAATAATGCACTCATCGGACAGCTTCATGTCGATCATGATCTGCAAGAGATCTTTCACTTCATCACCACTTGTTTGAAACGATTTCCTCATCGATAAAGTTGTTTCGCAATCCGTCCATAAGAGCGATGTTGACGTAAAACCAATCTTTTCTTTCATATATTCAATGGATTTCCTAAACCCTTGAATAATATAAGAAAATTCAGGGAAACAGAGCAATAGTTTAACCAAATAATTATTTGCCGATTTAGCAAATTCTTGCTTCACTGCCAACAAGAATCTGTCGTTTTTGTTGTACTGAACATCAGTGTCCACCCCAAAGGCTGTCCGTCCAATGATGTCTAGTGTTAATCGTTGATAAAACTTATAGAAATCAATTTCCTGACTCTGATTTTCGTTTAATTTATCAATAAATTTATCAATCTTTTGCTGAACCAATGGTACCATTGCTTTGAATTGTCGTGTATTGAAACCTTTATTCAAAATCTTTCTCAATTCTCTCCACTCATGAACCGGTAGATTACCCAACATATGGCAGCGCTTAGGGCTCGGATTAATACCGCCCGGTATTAGACGCGGTCTGTCCTCAAAATCCCGGGAGTGTTGTATTTTGTTGATGAGTCCTAAATGTTTGGTTATAATAATGGGTTTTGAGCCCAAATAATATCCAACGATAGGTCCAAACCTACAAATTAGATAAATGTGTTCATGTTAAAGATTTTAAAATATTTACCTTAAATATACTTCTCAATGAGGTGTGAGTGATACTCAACATTAGATGACCTGAAGAATGCTAACAGGTTTCCGGTGATGAGGTTGGGTTCGGGTCCAGGGATTCCCAGTCTTTTAAATAATGACATTCTTTTGATTCGGGTTTTATACCACAATAGTAGACAACTAAATGTCATAAAAATACTGGCCACGATTATAGGTAAATCATTCATGTTCGGATAACTGTCTAAAATTTAAAATTTATTCAAAAATGTTACCTTCAAATAAAAGTTATGGATTTTTAGAAATTTTTTAATCAGTTTAATAGCTGTTTAATACCACCCAAATTGCAACTAAACGGACCTGCTAGCAGTTATGTTAAACAATGGATCATAAGATTGTATCAAATATGAACATTTAGTGGATCAAATAGACTATTACAAAATGTTACGCAATGATTTAGTTAATTTTAGCCCCAAATCACAAGATTAAACCCTTTTTACAAACAAATAATATTTATTGATATTTAATTTACAATAAATATTTGGGTGATAATTATTTGTTATGAATCACTACTTTTTAAAGTATTCTTACTTGTGTTTGTGTATATTATGTAATAGGAGTTACATGGGAAAAAATGATTATCGTAAATATTTAACAATAATAAAATATTAATACAATACCTATTTTGTATTTGATATTTAATAAGTTAACAATTTTTGATTTTTTAATTTTATTAAAAAACATTTGCTAATTTACAAAATTAATAATCCTTTATTTGACGTGGTATCTATTTTTAATATTTAATTTGTTAGTTGCATAGTTTAATGCAATATCTATTTATTGTAAATTACAATTCAGGCATTTGAAAACACAAAAATTTTTGCAAATCATAAAATTATATTAAATTTAGTTAGTAATTAATATAAGTATTCAGTTTTAATTGTTAATAGTTAATATTATACAAGTTATCTGACATTTTTGACTGATTATTAAATAACCCTACCGTTAAAACAATATTCAATCAATAAAGTATTCAGTGTTTTTGGGATTGTTTTTAAATTAAATTATTTTTATATATAATTTAAAAATCTGCTCCATTAAATAGAGACAAACATTTGTAAAATTAATATTAAACCAAAATCCCAGTAGTCTCAATTGAAATTTTGTAAGTCATTTTAATGAACAGTAGTTTTTATCTCTAGAAATAGTTATTATGAGCAATTTGATACAAACTAAGTATTCTTTTGGTAATATACATTTATGATTATATTTTATGTTTACTTTCTAATTATTAGATAAATCATAATTTAGACAATAAACATTTATTTTATGTTATGTTATGTACACATGGCCTGACATTAAAATAATTCAGAGGTTTTTAACATTATAAGATTTTGTAAGTACAAGTTTAGTTATCAGATTCAAGTACAGAACAATAATGCTAACTTCATTATAAGTATAGTTACAAAATAATAATTAAATTCAAGTATTTATTAGAAAACCTATTTAAATACAATGTGTATAAATATTGTGTTAACCATTTTCAAGCATAGCTAATATCCAAAATACTGTATATCTTAAACAATAATGTGATCAGAAAATTAAATTATATTCGTGGGGATCATCATCACTGCAATTGCTTCAATATTAATTGCAAACACCTATTTGTAATATTGCATGTATTTCTTAATTATTTGTACTCCATATTAGTTCCGGCAGCAGTGGCCAACTTTGCCAATGAGATAATACCGGCGCCCAAACATTGTGCCAAACAGGAGCACAAGAATGTAAAGCAATACAGATATGGCTCGTGACAGACGTTTTTGGGCCTTCGAGGAGTCCATACGACATCAAAAAGTTTGTCAAAACACTTCTGATAAACAACTTATTAAAATAATTTACTTTATATTTTACTTAAAATTATTCAATTCTTTAAGGATAACTTATAATAAACGTTTTTAATCACAACTCCTTAAATGTCAATTCTTACTGTTATTGAGATATTCATTATAACCCAAATAATAAATAATAAGAATTCTAGTATTGAATAAAATTGAATTTTATTTATGAGAAATATTTTCTCAAAGCTAATTTTGTTTTCGCGGACTTAATCGACATTATATTATATTAAACGAGAATATTGTGAAAATACATTAAATTAATGAAAAAATCTTATGGTTTATAATTTCATTATTACATACGCTTTGAATATAATACAGGGAGTGAAGTGTCCGCGCAAACGGCTCTGCATTAAGGGCTGCTTCTGTAAGAAAGGCTTCTTCAGGGATGTGAACGACGATTGCGTCCCTCAGAAGCAGTGCTCTGAGAAGAAGGAGAAGAGGGCGAAGAAGGAGGAGAAGGAGGAAAAAGACGAGAAGGACGGCAAAGAGGACGACAAGGAAGATGACAAAGAAGAAGAGGGAGGAACTGAGGGAACGGATTCCACAGGAGGTACTGATGCGACCACAGAGGCTAACAGTGATGGGACCTCCGAGTCCTCCGAGTCGCCCACAACAGCCGGTGCAGACGAAGCGAGCACCTCTTCGGGTGAAGCCTCGGAGACAACGGAAGCCGTTTCCGGGACAACCGATGGCGCTACCGATGCCTCCGAAGCGACCATTGGCTCTACTGATGCCTCCGAAGCGACCATTGGCTCTACCGATGCCTCCGAAGCGACCATTGGCTCTACCGATGCATCTGAAGCGACCATTGGCTCTACCGATGCCTCCGAAGGGACCATTGGTTCGTCATCTGATGAGTCGACCACTTCATCTTCATCCGAGTAATCCAATGATTGATTGCCTGTCGTTTAAACTAACTTTGTTGTCATTGGGTTGTCGTTCACTGTCTGTCTGTCTATTCATTTAATTTAATATAACTGTAATATTATTACGGTAATAAATTTTAACTAATTATAGAGTAATAAAATATTTGATAAATAATAAAGGTGTCTTGTATGAGACATGTATTTACCAAGACCATTAGTAAAGCAATAAATATTTTCAACGCACAAATGTTAAGGAATATTAAAATGTTGATAATAATAATATACAATTTAATAATGTTTTATCAATCAAGTTAAATGTGGTTATTATTGAAATTTTCATTAATAACTTTGAACCGCATATTTAGTCAAAATCATTGAATATAAAATTCCTGCCTTTATTGACATCAAATAATGAGGAATACCAATTTTAATATTGAATGAATTTTATTTGAGAGAAATATTTCTCAAAACTAATTTTGTTTTCTCGGACTTAATCGACATTATATGATATTAAACGAGAATATTGTGAAAATACATTAGATTAATGAAAAAAACTTATGGTTTATTATTTCATTATTACATAAATTTTGAATATAAGAAACGGAGAGAGAGAGAGAGAGAGAGATTAATAGCAAAGAGTATCGATGGCAACAATTTGTTCAGAGCCCACATATTTGGGTGAATTTAGTTTATATTTGTGTGAAAGTGATGGCAATATAAATCTTCCGCCCAACCAATGGTGTCGACCGGTGAACAGTTTGGCGCACTTTTTCGGTGCAATCAGTGATATGAGACACTCGGGCAGTAAGACTGGGATCCCATTCCTTGGCGGCCCTTCGTTGGCGTTCCAGCCGTACGGCACGTCAACACTGATGACAGGTATACCAGTGTTGCAAACCTCGACCAGTTTTGCCAATATCTCATTGGTCTGTGAACTCAAACTCTGGGAATAGTCTTCCATGACATCCACTATTATAAGTATCCTAAGACGCTAATCAGCGCTGAGCAAACCGTTTATGCTATCCTTACTCTAGAGTTTGAGGACCGTGACAGACTAGTCAGCCACTATTACTCCACAGAAAGGGCCGACACCCAATATTTAGGTCGGACGATAGCCCTAATGAACCAGATTATTAGTGTTAGTGAACAAAATCATTAGACATTTGACACAAATATTTATGTACTGTATTAATAATAATTTTAAATTTTAGTTGCTACGAAATAATGGCTACTTTAAGCACTATTTGTGTGTTTATGTCAATCAGGATAAGGGTGTGAAGTGTTAATAAACTCACGAATAGTTTGAGATGTCTGGCGGCTACCAGTCCACTCTTGCCCAACAACTCAGAGCCACAACATATCAATACTTTAGTGGTTTTGTTCACATCGATTGGGTATGTCTTGAATATAGCGGATGCGATGCTCAAGCCTTGCATTTCAGTGATTTGATCGAAAGTGAAGCCAAATTCACCAAAAAGTTCATCTTTGATGGCCTCGTTCTCCACATCACTAATTGTCACACAATTATCTACTGTTAGCCACATATATAAACACGTTTTACAATGAAATTGAAACAAAAAATATATGATTACTCGATGTATTTGATGTCCTCAGTCTCATCGATGCCATTACTTCTGGTCAAAGTGTGTCCCTCTATGTTGGAAGTGGTTCTGTTCAGACCCGTGAAGCCCATAGACATGAGCCGTCGGGGTAGAGACCACTGCCTCTTGTCGGTGGGCGCAGACATCGGGTGTTTGTATCGGTTCGCTCGCGCGGGTGGTGTCTGACGACCAGATATATTGATGGCATCCATACAGTAATTGTTTTTAGTTTTACTTCAAGATTGAGTTTGAAATGAGTTTTTTTGAGGGATTAGTAAATGTATGAAAGGATTATACCTTAGGATTTGGAAAATTGTTTAGAAAATATAGTTATTTATCGATTGGAAGAGAAATCAAACTTACGGTTAGAATTGAATTTTTAGTTGTTTTTGTTGAACACTACTATAGTATAGGCTGTTATGCAGTGAAACTACTTTTACGTGAAATTCAGTTTTATTGACAAATCCGATGAATATTTTATGAATTTATTTGAAAGTTTATGCGTTTAATAAATTCAGAATAATATAGAAATGATCAGAAAAATGAAATAAATTCATACAAGGGTTCAATTATGCAGTTATTGCGGAAATATAATAAATAATAGACGAGGAGATGGTTTGTCACATCGATTACAATCAAACACTTAATGCTTTTCAATACAATCGTAGTTCACAAATGAATATCTTATAATCAAGAGTTAATCACGAATTGCAATAAGATTTAATATTTAGAGATTTTTGCGATTTGAGTAGAAGTTTGTATGAAATGCACACAATGTTTGTGAGCGATCATCAAATGGTTGACCTACTGGTGATCGCATCAAATACAGACCAATATGTAGAGTAGAGTTAAGTTGTATTTTGTGTGCAAAT